AATTAAAATATACCCCCTTACTTTCTATTCTCTCTATTAAAATTCTTCCACTCCTCTCCATTAAACCAAACGAACCCTTAGTGAAATTATGGTATGTTTGATGATAGTGGTTTTATCAAAGATTGTTTGTTAAAAGCATAGATTTTACTCAAAATAAAGTCAAATCACAAAATAAACTCAAAATATTCATAACACCAACTTATTTTATCCATAGATTTGAAATACTAAAATCACATAATAAACCAAAACCTATTTGAAATACAATGCTAAAATCATAAGATTAAACCTAAACTCTAAATCCCAATAACCATTGACATTTTCAACCATCCTCTTATGTAGACAATCTCATTCTTTAATTTCAAAATTTTCTTCTCTGCCTTTTAATCTTCAAATCCTTTTCACCGAGAATTTTATCACCTAATCACTTGAAGAAAATACAACACTTTTCCATATGATTTATGTAATTTCTACAACCTCTGAACCTTTTTTTCAAAGTTAATATTGTTCATATCAGTCACAACACTAAAAACACATTCATTTTGACAAAAACACTTTCTCTTCTTTCATGAATTATAGATCCAGTTGTCCTAATGCTTTAGTTGTTTAACATTAAAGCACTATTTAATTCTTTGACATTTGAGATAAATGCATCCACGTATAAAAAAAATAAAGTTAATGTAGAAAAAGAAAGAAGTAATGAAGATGATTACTTTTGAAACTGATGAAGAAATCCTAGAGAAAGAAGCACAGAAGGAACATGAATTAATGAATTTAAAACCACATAAGTATAAATCTTACTTTATAATACAAATAATCATATGTATACTTTAAGTCTTGATGTGAAGTTATGTCCTTAGAAAATAATTTTTTTTAATAAAAATTAACGGAAATAATCAATTCAACTAAATATTTTTAAAAATTAATATATAAATTTTTTAAAATAAAAAATTAAATTAATTAAGAAACATGGAGACCGAGTATATTTTAAAAAAATCTCAGACAAAGTGAATAAAAAATTTGATTTGTTATGTATTTTTTGTAAGCAAGGATTAATTAAAAGAATACTAAAAATACTTTAATCCGATTACAAATCAGCGGATGAAAATCCGAATAAAAAAAAGAAATTAAAAAATGCAATTTTTTTTACAAAATTCATAAAAATTATAATTTAAATAAACAATCTCTCCTATCCTATGTGAGACCCCCTCTAAACCAAACTTTTAATATTTCAAACAAGGTCAGAAACGACACATTTGTCGTAGCTTTAAACAACACCCCATTCCTCAATATCCAAATACTACACCAAATTGCTATCGAAATGCATTCTTCCCTTCCTTCCTTCATTGACTTTTCTCCTTTCAAAGAAATCCACCCAAAACAAACTAAAAAATTCACGTTGAAATTTGCATCAACGCATACTCAGATTTGTAATTTCAGTAATTTGACATTAAATATGCATCGGTATCGCAATAACTGATTTAATTATAGAACATGCTTTAAAAAGGTGAACCCAAGAAAATGGCCATTTAAGTATTACTTTTTTGGAAAAGATGGCAATTTAAGTTTTGAATTGACCATATTTAAAAATTATCTTTGAAACAAAATTGAAAACCAGCTGATGCATAAAAAAATAAAAAAATTACATGATGTATAAGGTATGAGCAAACGAGTAGGACCCACAGGAGTTATGAACCAAGCAAGCACTGTATGCCACAAAGCACTCTGTTTCATTACTCTCTAAACTCTTGTTCATCAACTTCTTCATCTTCATCATTTCCACTCATTTATTCTACATTTCTAGCTCTATCTACCAGATCTCATCACAGATTCACACCTACCACAACCAAGTATTCCTTCAAACTTCAGTTCAAACCCTTCGTTGCTTTCAATTCAGGTACGTTCACCTTCTACCAAAACAACGTGCTTATTTACCACTCCATCCTCACCAATCGCACTTTTATTATTATATTCATTCTAAAAATTTCTTACCAATTAGGGCTTTTCTATCTTAGGCATGATTAAGATTAACCTGAATTAGCTTTGATTAGTATGTGTTCTAACTTCTAACTAATCCATTTATATTCAATCCTCAATGTCGCCACTGATTAAGAAAGGAAGATCCTAATTTCGTTAATTATCTTCTTCAATTCGCTAATTAATTACTTAACGCTCTCCTGGACCCACTACAACACCGACGCTACTGGGTCCCACACTTCATTCTTATTTGATTGGATTAAACAACTCAATAAGCTGAAAATTGAATGAAATCTTTTAAGCGAAGTTATATAATGTGTATAGGGCTGGAAATGAGTCGAGTCGAGTCGAACTCACCTCAGCTCGGCTCGACTCGTTAAGAATTGTTCGAATTCGAGTTCGAGTTCGAGTTCGACACGAACTTTTTTTTAAGCTCAAACTCGACTCGTTATAAGTTCACGAACAGTTCGGTTCGACTCGTTAGGTTCATCTCATTAGGTTCAGGTCACATGGTTCACGAACTTAAAAACTATTTTTTTAAATATATATATTTTTTAGTATATTTGACATTTTAAATAAATATATATTTTTTAAATAAAATATTAAAATAAAATAAAAGTTATCATATTGAAATTTAACTTTATCTTCGAAATCTACTAATTCAAAACGTACACAACTTTCAAGAGATACATTTGAGAGTCTAATTCAAAAACTACTAAATTGAAGATTAAATTTGTCTAAGATTTGAAGTAAATATTTAAACCTAATCTTAAAGTCAGTATAATTCTTTTCATATGTAATCGAGTTGACTCATGAACCTAACGAGTCGAACTATGTATAGTTCAAGTTCAGCTCATTTAGTTAGCGAACTTAATTTTCCGCTCATACTCAACTCATTTGGTTCATGAACCTAGTTCAACGATTTAATTGTCGAGTCGAATTCCGAACTATCTTCGAGTTGGTTTGGTTCATTGCCAGCCCTATGTACTATACGAATCCGTTATTACAAATTTTGATTTTACTTTCCTGTCCCCACCAATCTTTTTAATTTACTTTTCTGCCCCCACCAATCTTTCTAGCCGTTAGCTATATACCATATCCTATTCTTTACATTTAAGTAATATTTGGTGCTTTTAAACTTTTTTTTATTCCCTCATTTTATTTATTATAAATTATATGTTTATATTTATATTTTTATTATTGAATTTTTGTTCTGGCTATGGCTTGGTGGTTAAGGTGTTGTTTTCAGTTAGCAAAAGAGTTATTATCAGAGAGAGGAGAGAGAGGTAGTGTACTTTATAGTTCCTTTCTTAACCTTGATTTCAACTCTAAATGTTTGTTTGCTATGTGCTGGCATTAATAAGTTATAACTATTTGGAATGAGTCACTATCCTCTTTTATTAATTCTCTCATATTGAATCCTTAGGTTGGTGAACATTGATCACATTCCTCTATTTTACAGCTTTTTTTGGATATGGTTTAGTTCATTAAACTAGCTTCTTTCCAAAACAATCATAATCATATGTGATTTAAGGGGGAAAATTCAATCTTTGTAAAACCCTTTTACTTATATATTATTATTATTATTACACATTATTAGTATTTCCTTTCTCAAATGCTAATCATAGCGCTTTTTTCTTTTTTCTTTATCTTTATGCTGCTTTGACTTGGTTCTAATTATACAAGTTTCAAAATTAGCTTTTTCTAGCTCATGGTTCTTAAAATTATGCAGAATTATAGGTGGAAAACATGATGGTTACTTTTGGTAGTTGCTGAACTGAATCCATTCATTCAAAGACTGCATATATGATTTTGGAAGCTATTAATTCTCAAGCCAAAACCTCAAGTGAGTTATATTTTGGAAGCTATTTATGATGTAACTATACCAATGGCCCATCTGTCTACCTTCAATTGAATGTTTATGCAAATCAGTAGTTGGCTTGGCTTTTCTTGCCACTCTTGATGATCAATACTGTTGCTATTCCAGACCCTCTCTAGCTACTACCTAGGCTATTAATTGTTCAACTTTTCAATGTTTCTGTGTATACGACAATGTTTTAAAAACCATAATGGATGGTTCAATGAGCTGAACTGTGAACCATTATGGTCTATAAATTGGTTATTTGAGCAAGTTGACAGCGGTCTTGTCCTGGTTCGAGCAGTTTAAAACCGTTGAGTTGTGTTTTGTTAGGTCTCACCAGTTCGATGTCTAGTACGGTTTTCAAAACATTGGTATACGCCATACAGTGCTTTTTGTTTTGTCAAAACAATACTTCATACTACTATCATTTTCTATCTGTTTCAGTACTGGGTGGTAATGAGGATGGATAAACTTGACTGTGATGTGATATATGTTGGCCAACCCTGTATCTGTTCCTTCCAACTCTCTTATGTCATGAAAAGTGTATCTCTTTAGTAAGCAGGAAATTATTGATTGACATTCATTTGCTTAGTGCAGCATAGGATATAAACTGAAAAAAGGGCGTGCTGTTTTTTTCTTCTTCTGAATAACTGCTTATCTGCAGGTTGTATCTTTTGGATTAGTTTATCCTGTGACCTTTTCATTGATGATTGTGCCTGGGACTTTTGAAGACTTACCTCGTTATTCTTGATTCAGGTTTACCAATTGATGCTACTTTCATTCTTTTCCTTTTTAATATAGGATCTTTAATTTGGCATAGATTTTAATAGTTGCTTCACAAAACTTGAATTTTCTAGGATTGGTAAAATTTTTAGAGTGTCTGTAATATGGAACATAAAATATATTTAGATTCATTCTAGCCATTAACTGGTTAAATCTATTGCCTTCTTCTCTTCTCTGTGTCACACGTATATTTGAAAGGGTGTAGCCCCAAGTTACCTGTTATTTACTTGTGATTTTGTTTTTCTCAGCTCATGAAATTACTCTTATTAAATTATCTAAGATATATGCTTTATTTCTTGACGTGAGAAACATTTTTGCCAAATTATATGTGCAGTGATAAATGGTTTCCTTTCATTTCCTTGTAGTGTATGGAGTTGATTAAATGAAGTCACAGATCAAAATTACTCTTGCTGTTATTATTAGTGTGCTCTGGATTCAACACTCCTTTTGTGGTTAGTATAACATTCTGAATCATATTTGTTCTCAGTAGATTACTTTATGCGATGAAATAGGTCAAGCCAAAGACACCATAAATCTCGCTGTTTTTGTTTATTTAATTTTCTTTATTTGCATGGCATTATTTTTTGGCAGATGAAGCATCTGATACATCTAGCCTAAACAAGTGGAAATGTAGATGTTCTTCTTTCGAAGCGAGTCAAAGCAACTCCCTTGCTAATTGTTCAAAGTCATGTGATTGCCATTCAGGTGTGTTGTTAGTTTCTTTATTGGAGCAGGATCAGGAGCCTCCTATTTATATTTATATTTTAATCTATCTATTTAACATCTTTTATATTCTTACATTAGATTACAGCTTAAGAAATTTTCTTGCTATGTTTGATATATATATATTGCTTTCTAACTTGAACTCATAAATTCATAAAGTTTGATCATCCAAATGTTTCGATGTAAAATTCAAGTTTAAACACTGATTCTAATTACAAAGAACATTTTGAACTAATTTTTTATATTTATTGACTAGTTATGGTTACTAACAATACAATTATGGAAGGAATTAGGAATGCAACATGCTTCTGTTTCACGTGAATTGAAGAGATTGTGACCACAGCCTGAAAATTATATGATAATTATTTTACCTTCCTTTGTAGATGTTGGAGAGGGTGCATCCATATGGACATGCATATGTGATCCCAATGGATTTCCCCAAGTGGCAGAAGATGGTCATAGCGCTAAGTGCTTTCATGCTTGCAACTGCACCTGGGGTATCTTTCTCTTCGTATCTTTTTCTCTAATCTGAAATTTCATTATCAAAAATTGCTTTATTATTGCTTTGTAAAGGTGATTTAGATGGACTAGTGCTAGACCAGTAGACCTGTTATTGTACACTAAACCTAAATGCATATGAGAAGAAAAAGTGAAGATAGACATAAAACTGATTTTGATATATTTGGGTGTTTTCAAATAGAATTGATTTTTTTATTTTTAATTTAGAATTGATTCTAGCCTGAAGCTGATTTGGAGCTTTTTACTCCAAACATCATTTTGTCTCAAATCTATTATCTGACTTTTACGTGAATGTATCCAAACATTAGTCGCTTTATGTTCAAGTCACTTTTAACCAAACTTAATTTATCCAAAAAAAAAATCAAGTTTTGCCACTATAGCATCATACACTCACTAAGATTTGTTCACTTGGTACAACTCTTATTTATAAATACTTAAAATCAATTATTTAGTTTTCATTGTGAAGTGTGAAGTTTTTCCCTTCACCTTTTAAAAACAATTATTTGTGTCTTATTGATAATGGTAAAATCTTGTGCTCTTTTGTACTAAATCATTTGTTTGTTCCTACGTCAAGATACTTAGAAACTAAGTTTATGATTTTTGAGTGCTATGCAGGAACTGTCAGCACGTCATCAGGTTCAAAGAAACACATTTCCAGCAAGGTTGTTGTAATTGTCCTATTAATATGTGTTATATGCACAACCATTGCGTTGCTTACCACAGTTGTATGCTACATCTACCGAAAGAAACAATACCCTACTCAATCACCAATATTCTCGGTAGATAAGGAAACAAGTAGTGGTAGTACCGCCAACCTAATCAGTCATCGGGCAGGAACTTCTTCAGTACCAGAAACAACGTTTTTTGTGAATTCTCCTATTTGTCATATCACCGGTAAGTTACCGTCCCTTGGTCCTGGTTTTTTTTTTTTTTCTTTTCAATTTTTACAATTGTAAATGCAAACTCGAAAATTCTGTTTATTTTCTATTATATATTAATTGTTGATTAGTTTTTTTTTTTCTGTGTAGGATGCTTTCAGAAAGCCTCTTTTTTGTTTGGGAGCCAAAAAGAAACTTTTCATGGAAACATTATTCAATTTTCATTTGGTGAACTGGAAAGTGCCACTGATAACTTTTCAGCTACCAACCTTATTGGAGTAGGCGGAAGTAGTTATGTATACCGTGGTCGGCTGAGAGATGGTAACATTGTGGCAGTTAAGCGACTAAAAGATCAAGGAGGGCCAGAAGCAGACTCTGCATTTTTCAAGGAGGTTGTACTTGTATCTAATTTTGCAATATCATTGATTCAATATACTTTGACTATGTTGTAATGTTTCATAATATCTAGAGAAAAGATGAGCCTACGACCTTTTTTATTATTTCGGTATAATAGTCGTAATGGTTTTAATGTGTTTTTTTCTTCTTCTGCAGATTGAATTAATATCTAGACTTCATCATTGTCATTTGGTGCCTTTGCTTGGATACTGTTTAGAATCGAAAGGAAAACACATGCAGAGGCTACTAGTATTTGAGTACATGATTAATGGAAGTTTGAGGGACTGGTTAGACGGAGTTTCTGGAAAATACCTGGATTGGACTACTCGTGTTACGATTGCAATAGGAGCAGCAAGGGGCTTGGAATATCTCCATGAAGCAGCTGCTCCAAAAATTCTTCATAGGGATGTGAAATCAACCAACATTCTTCTGGATGAAAAATGTCAAGCAAAAGTATGTGAATCTTGGATATTCTTTTTGGATGGCAGATACAAAATTTGAATTTATTTAGATGAGGTATATTTATATAATTTGTTTTCTTCAAACACTCAATTTGCAGATAACCGATCTTGGTATGGCGAAAAACTTGAGATCTGATGACCTACCAAGCGGTTCAGATTCTCCAGCAAGAATGCAGGGGACATTTGGCTATTTTGCACCCGAGTATGCTATTATTGGTAGAGCCTCGCTTGAATCAGATGTCTTCAGTTTTGGTGTGGTACTTCTTGAGCTTATCAGTGGTCGACATCCTATTCATAAAACTACCGGCAAAGAAGAAAGCCTTGTTATATGGGTACATTCAAATAAAATTCATAATGATAAAATTAATCTGAATTTGCAATTTTAATCACCATTTCTTTTACAATCTTATAATGTGCCGCATCTTCGATTTAAAATTCAGAATTATGATGATATGGTTTTTAGCTTCGTTATATGAGTTAGTTGTATATCTTTATCAATTAAGCTAGGAAAGATTATGGATACTCGAGTATTGACATAGCTTGCCTGAACTTCTGTTCTAGGCTTCTCCTCGTTTACAGGATAGTAGGCGAGTAATATCGGAGATAGTTGATCCACAATTGAAAGGAAACTTCCCAGAAGAAGAGGTGCATATTATGGCATATCTAGCCAAGGAATGCTTGCTGCTGGATCCCGACACTCGACCAACCATGAGCGAGGTTGTTCAAATTCTTTCTAGTATTTCACCGGGCAAATCAAGGAGGAGAAGAAACATTCCCACCAGCTTGTTTCAGGTGAACACATACACTGCCATGTTTTCATTTCTTTATAACAGTATTTTAGTTTAATAAAGTTTCTTAATTTTCAAAATTTTGATGAATATTTTGCTTGACTAAATGTTAGTTGCGTCATGTTGCCATTCAAAGATCATTCTCCTATTGAATTAAAAATCAACCATATACTGATTTTTCTTCTTCTTTATGGATATGTAAAGGAACCAGAGAATGTAGAATCGAAAAGGCAAGCTCAATCCAGTGAATTTCCAACTCATAATTCATCGCCACTAGATACCGGTTACAATCCGTGTCTTGGAAACAGAAATAGAGAAGAAGATGCAGTTTCAGCTGAGTATATGGAAAGTTTGATCCTCTTAGCTTCAAAATCTAATAGCTCGCATTCATCAGAAGAGGAAATGGTAGACATAACTGAGCCTCGGTTCGAATCATTTTGCATGACAAATGGCACTGTCACTTGAAAACACAAACTATGAATACCAATATTTTTTGTGCATTGCTCAATGTGATATAATCATAAGGGGTGCTGCAATGAGTTCTGGTTGAGATGTGTTCTACATTTGTTTCAATTCTGTTTTGAATTGAAATGCACATAGGTGTTATTAGATATTATAAGCACAAAAAATATATCAAATGTATTCTTGTACAGAAAAGCTTAGAAGAACTATAGGTGCAACTGATTTTGGTTCTTTTATTTGGAGAAGAATCCAATTTTATTAATTAACAACCTATACTTTTTTAGGACGAATATACACATGTTTCCTCTTTAGGAGTATACTTGTAGGAGTTTGTATCAATTCCTTCTCTTAAAGCGAATTTTTTTACTGGACCTAAATTAAGGAGCTGTTTACTTAAGAGTATTATTGACAGGACATGAATGTAGCTTGTTGTTTGTTCATTGGTGAAGAGCTTGTTATTTTGTGGTTAGGAAATAAATGTTTCTATTTTTAGCTTATAATTAGCTGTTAATCTCTCCATGTTGTGTCAAATGTGAGGGTAGGGATGTTTAAATTCAAACCAATGCAAATAAAAACGCATTAAAAGAATTGAAAACCGAAAAATTTGAATATTAATTGAAGGTGTTTAGATGTTATTTTGAAGGTGTTTAGATGTTATTTTGTAAAAATAGTTTGAATTTCGAATTGAATTTTCAAAATTGATTCAAACAGAATTTAGTATGCATATATTTTAATTTTAATTTTATATTTGTATTTAGTTTAGTATTTATTAATATTTATTTATTTTAAATATTATTTATAATTTAGTTTTATCTATTAACTTTTAGTTTTTGGGTTTATTTTGGTTTAATTAAAGAAGGTTTATATTGATTTTGTTGTGAAACGATATTGTCAATAACAGAATAAAGTTATGAGATAAAAATTGAGTTTGTTGAACAAATATAAAAAACTCTATTTAGATTTACAAAAGAGAGAAGAAGAAAGAAGAAGAATTAGTTAAAAATATTTTACTATTTACTTTTTAATAAGGGTTCAAAGATTACAAGTGAATAACAATAATTAAACTCTCTTAACAACTTGAGAGAACTAGTCTGTTTATAGACTACTAAGCTAACTTAGGTTACAAACTAACTTAACAATTGAGCTTACAAGCAATGCCTAATTTGACATGCTTTAAAATAAAACATATTTCGACAACATGTTTGAACAAACTTCAACTATAGCATGCACAACTCTTGTCGAACCAAGAAGCTACCTTTGCCAACACCAGAGTTTGATCCAAATACCATAAATCTCTACTTTGGAACAAACTTTACACTAATAATGGAACAAACTAGCTTTCATCATGCAGCTTTATCAACTGCATATAGTGAAAAAACTTGCTATTCGACAATGTCTTGGTGATCATATCAACAACATTGTCATCAATCGGAACCTTCAGCATGTGAACTTCTTCATGTTTGATTATCTCTTTGACGAAGTGCAACCTCACATCGATGTGCTTGATTCGCTCATGATAGACTGAATTCTTCAACGGGTGTATTACACTTTAACCATCACATCTAACAATGATAACTCGATCTTGAAGTTTCAACTTCTTAGTAAAACTTTCAAGCCACAATGCTTCTTTCACAACTTCAGTGAGGGCAATATACTCCACTTCAATGGTTGATAAGACAACAACCTTCTGAAGTGTTGTTTTCTAACTAATTGTTGTGCCAAACATAGTGAACACATATCCATCCATAAATAAAATTTCTAGAATCCATACAACCTGCATAATCAGAATTGATAAATCTTTCGATTTCGACTTTGCTATCATCACCACAGGCTCCACTATAAATCAGGAATTTGCTCAGAGACCCATTAATGTACCTAAGATTCTACATTAATGCTTGCCAGTGTGTCTTTTCAGGATTGACCATATACCTACTTACAAGGCTCACTCTGTACGCTATGTCTGGCCTCGTGCAGACCATAACATACATCAAGGAACCTACTATACTAATATATGAAATGATATTCATATAGGCTCTTTCGACTTCAATACTAGTATTTTGAGTCGTACTCGACTTGTACTGAGGATTAGTCGGTGTTAGAATAAGCTTTGAATTCAACATATCAAACTTGTCGAGAATCTTTTTCAAGTATGTCTCTTGAGATAAGCATAATCTTAACTACTTTTCATCTCTCTGTATGTCAATCCCAAGAGTCTTGGAGACAGCTCCTAGATCCTTCATGTCAAACTCTTTATCGAGTTCAGCCTTCAATTTTACAACATCTTTGACATTATTGCTTGCTATGAGAATGTCATCCACATAAAGCAACAAAATAAAAAGTGGATTTCCAAGGTCAAAATCTGAAGTAAATACAGTGGTCGGACTGACTCCTAGTGAAACCTATGTGTGTCATGAACTTATCGAATCTCTTATTCCATTGTCGAGGGGATTGTTTCAGGCCATACAAAGAACTATTCAACTTGCAAACATAATCTTCCTTTCCTTTTTCTGCATACCCTTCAGGTTGCCTTTTTAGGATTGTTTCATCTAGATCACCATACATGAAGGTTGTCTTCACATCCATTTGTTCAAGTTCTAGGTCGAGCTTTTCCATCATGGCTAACAACATTCTACTGGATCTATGTTTTAAAACAAGTGAGAACACATTGAATTCAACACCTTTTTTTAGTGAACATCGTAACAACCAACCTTTCCTTAACACGCTTCGACATCACTCCTTCGATTCCTTCCTTAACCTTGGAGATCCACTTACAACTGACCAACTTGACTCCTGCATGTTTCTCGATCAGCTCCTCGGTGTTATTATCATGAAGAGATTTCATCTCATCATCCATGGCTTTCAGCCATTCAGTCTTATTTCGACTCCTTACAGTTTCGTTCTTCACCGAGAATCTCACTTGCAGAGATTAAGGAAAATGCTATGAGATCTACCTAACCAAGTCTCTGAGGTGGCTTGATGATCCTTCTCGACATGTCTCTTACTAGCAGGTAGTCTATATGCTTGATCTAGATGACATGTTAATGCATGGAACTAAGTGTTTAGTTACCAAGGTTGAATATTCTTTTTTATGGCATAAAGACTTAAGTCACATGCATTTCGAATTGTTAAATAAAATAGCATCCAAGAATCTAGTGATTGGTCTTTCCAAAATTAAAATTTTAAACCACAAATTATGTGATGCTTGCCGAATGGGAAAGCAAACAATAGTGTCGTTTAAATCGAAAAAAGTTGTTTTGACATCAAAACGTCTCGAGCTTTTCCACTTAGACCTATTTGGCCTTTTGTAAGCAAGAAGTTTAAGAGGCAATTATTATGCATTTGTGATTGTTGATGACTACTTTAGATCCACTTAGACATTATTTTCAACCTATAAGGATGAAACTTTTAAGGCTTTCGTTGATTTTGCTAAGCTTGTTCGGAATACTTTTAGTTTGAAAATTATCACACTCCGTAGTGATCATGGTGGTGAATTTATTAACCATCAATATCAAAACTTTCATATCAAAAATAGGATTGCTCTTAACTTTTCATGTCTGAGTACTCCACAATAAAATGGTATTATTGAGTGTAACAATCGTGTTTTAGAAGAATTAGCCCGAACCATGATAAGTGAAATGAGCCTACCTAAGTACTTTTAGGCGGATGCAATTAATACCACATGTCATGTCTTAAATAGAGTGATCATTCTACCCATCCTAGAGAAGACACTAGGTTGATCTTGAACTGGAAAAAGCTTTTAACATCAGGTTGAACTTGAACCGAAACTTGATTTTATACTGCGCTAACCAAGAACCTATGATGTTTTACCACCGAGCTAATCTCGAACCTTTGAAAGCTTTTGAGCGGGTTGAACTTTCCAACCTAAATGAAGATTTGATCACACAATCTTCAAACCAAAGCTTTTCATGAATTTATCTTCGGACGCAAACAAATAAAACCTAAATGGATGAATTGTTCAACCAAGGTAAAAATAAATTGTTCTTGGTGAACTTACAAATTTACCCTTGCAGGATTACAACTTCCTCACTCGCAAAATGACTTTCTCAAAAGTTCCACGACTAAATTTAAACATATTAAATAATGTTCTCGTTTTGTGTAGTTTTTTGAAATCATTTTTTCTTTTTTATATGGATTTGTTAATACCACTAGTATTTATCATTCAATATTATTAGTTTGTGTGAAATTATTCAAAGTTTAAAATTTTTAATAACGAATTTAAAAATTAGAAATAAGTTTCATGATGAAGTGAAGATAGCGAATTATATTTAAGATTTATTTATAGAAGGGAGTTTCTTAATCCACCATCTGAAATGTGGAAATTTTACATAAAAAAATCTTTCAATAATGTATTTTAACAAATATATATGTCATTTTTTAAAATAAAAAGGTTAGATTACTTTGGATTTTTTTAATTTTATTTAGGAATATCAACAAATTTTTATAAGAGCCCAATATTAGTCATTTTTAATAATTATATAAGGGTTTAATTGTTATGCACTGAAAATGTAAAAATGTTTTACACTGTCATCCAATAAGAATATATTATTCTGCCATGTCATATAATTAGTTTAAACTTTTCAGTATGACTTGGCGGAATGTATGGTTGTCATTGGTTGACAGTGTAAATAAAATTTACACGGTCAGTGCATCACCTTTTTTTTTCATTTTATAATTATTTGATATTTTACCTGTAAATTTTGTTGCGAATTTTAGAAAAACTTTCGTAGAAAATATGTTATTTATGATTTTTTTGTGTGTGGATTTTATAATAATATATGCATTTAAATGATTTGTACCTAATTTTATACTTTCTTACTACATTTTAAAAAATCCAACAAATATACATATTGTAATACCCAAAATTTTTCCCTGAGATTTGGTTGAATCATTTCGCATTTCATTGCATTTCGCATCGCATTTTAACTAACTACTAACGGGCTGTGCAGTTGGTTGATTTTTGCAGAAGAATATTAGGCGGTGCG